ATGATAATAATAATAATGATAATAATAATAATGTTATTAATAATAATGATATTATAATATTATTATAATTATTATATGTTATTATGTTATTATAATGTTATTAATAATAATGATATTATAATATTATTATAATTATTATAATAATAATGATAATAATGATGATGATGGTGATGATAATAATGATACTATTACCCATTTTTCGTCCTACTCAAGGGTCTGCCTCAGCTGATAATGACAATGGGGCCGACAAGACGAAGATAAACAAATTAAACAACAATGATAATAATAATAATAATAATAACAGTTATGATTATGATATCGGGAATGGAAATGTTGATAATGATCGCGTTATTCGCACTGGTGGCGGTGATGAGGCCAGCAAACCCAGAAAAAAACCCAAAGGTTATTTTTACGCTCACAACAAGAACAAGAACAACAAGAATAACAATAACAATAATAAAATCTCATTTTTTGACGGAGGCAGACCAAAATACAAAAATAATAACAACTACTACTACTACAATCCCAACAACAACAATAATAATAATAATAAAGTTAACCACGACGAAGAATGCATTACATTGGATGAAATCAACCACAATAGAAAACATCAAGGCAAACCTTATTTTCCCGCCAAAAATCATTTTCCCGCCAGACCTCACTTTCCCACCAAATTTTATTTTCCCACCAAGCCTCAAAAGCCCGCCAAAAAGATTTACGACCATGACGTCATAGCTACGTCAATCGGCGGCGGTAGTGGTGGCGGTAGTTATGATAACGATTACGATAGCCATGATAATGATGTTAATAATAATAATCATAATAATAATATTAATTTCAATTATGGTCATAATTTCGGTCTTCCTAATAAACAGGTCTTCAGTGCTGATGACGATTACGACGGTAATGATAACGATTACAATAAGAAACACGGCGGCCATAATAATAATAATAATAATAATAAGTTTGTTGGTTCAAGAGCCAAGAAATTTATAAACGCAAACAAACTCGGACACAACAACAACAACAACAACAACAACAACAACAATAACAATAATAATGATAATAATAATAATAATAATAATAACAACAACGGAGACTATTACGATTCTGGCAAGGATGATTACAACAACAAAATCAGATACCTGTTAAACAAGCACAACAATAACTACAATAACAATCGCGATAAATATAGCAACAAAAATAATAATAATAAGTATAATAATAATAATAATAAGTATGATTACATATGCGAGCACCCTGAGCACAACTTCTTACACCCCGGCCAGGATGAAAGCCCCAAAATCACCCCCAAAAAGTTTTACCCCAAAAAATTAAAAATTGGAATAAATTATGATAATAATAATAATAACAATAATAGAAATAATAATAACAAAGGGGTGTTAATTGACCATGGTGGGCTGTATGGCGATAATAGAGATGATTTCGGGGTGAGCGTTAAAAAGGGTGTATTGTACGATTATCCAGGAACAAAGAATAATAAACCAAAGACGACTCGTGCTGATTACTATTACGATAATGATGATAATAATAATAATAATAATAATAACAACAACAATAATAATAATAATTATGGACGATAGAGCTGTTTTAAAAGGTAAAAAGTTCGGCGGTCATGATGATGATCATCGTGATCGTCACCAGGATGAACAGCTTGGCGGAAATATCAATGTACAAGGTGCTGATGATGATGACGATAATGATGATGATGATGATATTATTATTATTATTATTAAAAGTTATTTTCTCCAGTAATTTCAACAGCAACTAGCGGTGAATCAACAAATTACGTGAAAACTGCGTGTGTGTGTATGTGTGTGTGTGTGTGTGTGTGTGTGTGTGTGTGTGTAAAAGACGGGGTCCTGTTTGTATTCGAATTCAATCACCGCGACACCAGTGCCAGGCGTCTTAACCATTACACCATCTCGAGACGCACATTATTCATAACTTTTTTTTGTTTTCCAACCAACAACAACTCCGGCAACAAAAACTACAACTACAACAACTAAAACAACAACAACAACAACAACAATAACAACAACAACAACAGTCGAACAGGATAAAATGAAAGCAATAACAACAACAAGACTTGGCCGTCGGCAAGAAGAAGAGGAAGATCAGCAGCAGTACACCGTCGAAGAAATGACGAAAACCTTCATCGTAAACATTCAGGAGGGCATGGTCATCGATGGGGGCTACTTATTTGACCTTGAGATGGAGGTCACGATTGTGAAGGTCATTGTCGAGTTCGATGAAAGTTACGTCGGAATGATAGGTTGGTTCTTTTTTTTTATAAAACTTTTACTAATTCGGTCGTTGATTAATTGATTGGTTTGTTCGTTCATTCATCCATCCATCTATCTATCCATTCATCCATGCATGCATGCATCCATCATCCATCCATTCATTTATTCGTTCGTTCGTTCGTTCGTTCATTCACTCATTTATTCATCCATTCATCCATCTATCCATTTATCCT